CCCCCCCCCCCCCCTCCATCGCATAAATTGTGCCAGCCAGGATGATCTGCTGATAAATTGACCTTGTATTTACTTTATTTAAAAAGGAAAAACTTGAGAAAGCTGCGGAAGCATTTGAGGCTGCAGAGGAGTTACATCAATCATTTGTCACACGTATTGATGAGTGGATGTTACACAACTATGGCAGAGCTATCGACCTCTTCAGACGTTTTGACCTTAATGGGGACGGTTGTCTAACATACGAGGAATTTTACGCTGGGATGAGAGACCTTGACGCTCCTTGCAACAAAGTGGAATTATATCTCCTTGCTAAGAAATTAGATGAAGATTCGAATGGATTGATTGATTACTTGGAATTCTCAAAAGGTTTAAAATATTTTCGTAAATCAGAGGTTGTTGCAGATGGTGATCTTCCAAATTTGACAATTATTCGAGAGAAACTTGAACACTGTCCTTGTTGTAAGCTAGGGTTGTGGAAACCTCAGAAAGAGGCCTTCCCAAGGTGGGTTCAATGCAAAGATATTTTCCAGTATTTAGGTCAATGTGTCAGTCAGTCCTATAGTCAGCCATTTCAATAGTTGGTCGGTTGTCAGTTTGATAATTGGTTGGTTAGTTGGTTAGTCAGCCATTTCGATTTTAGTTGCTCAGCCAGGTCTATAGTCAGTTGGTTGGCTAGCCATTTCAACAGTTGGTAATTGATTCGGTTGGTCATTTTGATGGTCATTTACTTGGCCAGCTGGTAATCGGTTGGTCAGTCAGTTTGGTTATTTCAATAGTTGGTTAGTCATTCCCAAAATTAGTTATTCGGTTGGCCAGTCAATTTGATAGTCAGTTGGTTAGTCTGCCAGTTCAATAGTGACTGAGTCTGTTTAGGCAGCCAACCACTCATCAATATTATCAAATACCATCAACAATAGTCCCAGAAAAATCATTAAAGTCCTTTTCTTTCAGATACATACAGCTGGATCTTCGTCTTCTAACTTTTGCGAACATAAAAAGCTATCCTGGCAATTTTCAAATCTTGATTCATGCTCATGTGACTGTCTACTCCGTTTTGGAATTGATCAATAAGAGACTGGGTGGAACAACACAGAAATTAACAATATACAGAGACAAAGGGAGAGAGAGGGTAGCCCTGGATCCAAATTTGACACTTCAAGAGACGGGGTACGAGGGTGGGCCCAGACATTTGCCACAAGAAGTTGGACTTCTGTATGATTATATGACCGAGTTTAACGACTGCCCCATTTTAACATCTGATCATTATTTCTAAAGTAAAGTGGAAAATACATCCCCCTCGTCTTGAAACTCACATGCAACTATACCATAAATATCCATGGATTTACACATTGGAGGGCTTAATTACAGGGGGAAGTAATAATATTGTACGTGTAAACTATACCACGAATGAAACGAAATACAAACATACTGTGTATAATCTATACATTACAATATTGTAATCTTAGAACGTATTTTAAATTAAACAAATTTGTTCATTTGAAACATGTTTGTTGTTGGTATTCACTGATGCGCGTCTTTCTTCTCATCGACATTTCATCTTGCTCAAATCTTTCACATCCCAAAAATTTCATAATGCTTGGATATTCGGGGCGAGAGTTTATACGGCGTTTTGATAATTTGTTTCTGAATACATTTTCACTGCAGCAGAGATTCCAGTTCAATGTATACAACTAAAACTCTTTCAAAAAGACTCCACTTCAGATGGTTCTCATAGATGGTTCCCCGAGGCCTCTTCTGTCCCTTTCTTTACATATTGTATATAACGAGTTCTACAATCTGTACTCAGTTTGTAAGCTATGCGATTTACATAATGATGACAATTATTGGAGAAAAGCCGATATCGTCCATACTTGATGACATAACGTAGATTCCATATTTCAATCTCATTCAACGAGCATTGACTACGGCCTTTTTTCACAAATTGCCATTTGATATTGCACGACCAAGGAGGGCGGGTCAGCTCAGGCCAAGGGTACCGTTTGCTCCCCCATTCGTAAACTTTTCCACGAAAAAGAAGTAAACTGTGTCTTAGCCGTGTTGTGCTGACTATTGCACGCTTGTTTCTCCTGTTCCAAAGACTTGTATGACCGTAAAAATAGTCGTTGCTTTCAGCTATGGAAACAGCAACAAAATTATTATAGTATGCTAGTAGCCTAGTAATTACGGTCGCCAAGGAAAATTTGACAAGTGTACAAAAAATACTAATTATATGGTTTTGACAAACAAAAGACGGTCTTGACGTAAGACTGATAAATTTGTAAGGAAAACTTGTGAACCGTACACACGAGAAGATAAACTTGTGAATGAAACTTGTCAACTTGGTCTAGCAAGCTGACCGTGTTTTGCAACAGACACCACTTTTTTGTGTTTAAAATTAATATAATAATATTACCCGTAAAATTTCCTTGGCTTGGCCACGGATATGGACATTTGTCTGGTAAAAACCACCATCCATTACCAACAGAAATTTCTTGCACGGCCAGAATAAAAGCGATGGTTAAAAAATACGTTGCGATTTTTCTTAGGTTAGAAAGCTGACTCAACACATCATCGAACTGCATTACGGTATTTTAATTGTCATGATTGAACAACAACACCGACAGAAAGTGTTGTTTTTAATTATGTTCTTAAAAATATATTGCGCTTGGCTTTAGATGACAACAATATCTCAATGATGGCTTTTACTATCGAAGTTTCTAGGGGTGATAATAGTTTAATACTTTATTCATAATTTGCTAAAATTATGCAATCAAAACTTTTCGCCAGTGAACGCACGTGGTATATGCAAATTAGACACCTCTATATATTTTTCATATATATATTTTTTTCATATATATTTTTTCCCATAATGCCATATATTTTTTTTTCGAGATATCTTTTTCAGGTAGTTCTGACCAAAACCACGTCAGCTTATTGTAGTTTGAGATATCTTTATATATACAACAATATTAAATAATTGGCACAAATGGGTGGTAAGAGCTAGGTTTACCAATCGCCAAATAACAAACGCGACTTGTTTTGCTGCAAAATTTCCTAAATATATTACAATTTTTAAGACAAATGTTTAAGAATCCTTAAGGTTTTATATAAGTGTTGCCTCATTTAAACATTAAAACGGCCTCCTTAGGAAACGTCCAATTACGCCTGGGGCTCTTCGTCGTTTCCGTCTTTTTATATCTGTAGAAACAAAGCATGAAAGTAGAACAATGAACAGTTTATTTATTTATTTATTTATTTATTTATTTATTAGTTGAATTTTATGTCGAAAGAAATTTAAAACATGACATAGTCCAGGTTTCACTAAGTGCTACATCGACTATCGTGCAGCGGATGGTGGAATTTAAACCTGAATTTTAAACCTGAATTTAAAACCTGAGTTTTAAACCTGAATTTTAAACCTGAATTTAAATCCTGAATTTAAAACTTGAATTTAAAACCTGAATTTAAAGCCTGAATTTAAAACCTAAATTTAAAACCTAAATTTAAAACTTGAATTTAAAGTCTGAATTTAAAACTTGAATTTAAAGCCTGAATTTAAAACTTGAATTTAAAGCTAGCCTGTTTAGCGGCTGTCAGAAAGAAGAGCCTGCACAAAACGCCATGCTTTGCCGTTTTTACTGGTTCTCCCAGAGAACGAGAAATCTGATTGGTTCAAAATAAAATATTTGCTAATTTATGCTAAAATAATCGTTGATTGATAGCTTAATTGTGAACAAACACGGCAGATGCGTGAGTAGACTTTCCCAAAGTCCTTTCCAAGGTTTTTTCGCGGTTCGTATGTACGATTGTGAGAGGTGTTTCTTGAGTTTTGCAATCAAAACTGTTTAAAGGCACGATTCACATTTAAGGATGAACAAAAAAATGTTTACGAACTTTGTTGATTAAGCTCTAAAGAAAGAGTGGATATGGTGTCTTCGTTTGATCGCTGCCTCTTTATATAGCCTTAGTCACTAAGTCACCGACGACAAATATATTTTTTCTTGATGATTTTGTAGCTGATAATTTTGTGGCAGGAGGGAATTGCTGTGAATGGGAAATGTCATTTGGCCTGGGAGCCTCGCTTTCGTGAATCGCGAGCCAATCACGTTGCGTAATTTACTGTTGAGAGAGGCTCTAGGACCAAAGGTATGTGCGACGTAATTATCGAAAGGGTGTATTTGTAGGTATCTACGATATTTCGTGGCTCTCTCGCACAAGGACTGCAAACTACTTGTGACGACGATGAAGACTGCTCTAGCAATATTCCCACAAACTTCAATTTTCTTTACTCGACATCCGTGTATTATTTCGTTTTGAAATTTGCAAACGTAAATAGAGAATAATACATGGGTGCGCGGAAATACCATGTATTTTTCTGTTTATTATATAAACAAAATTCAGTGAAAAACAATAAAACGTCCGTGGCAATGCGTTTTACAACAAATGATATTTTCACACGTAAAAATATCGTATTTTTTACGTGTGTTTAAATACGATTTTTCTCAGTGGCCAAAAACTCTATATAACACTTATGTTTATATAATAAAGCAATGTATATTATTTCATTTTGGCACGTAAATTTGCAATTTAAATTTGCTTGCCGCTTGTGAAACGTATCAAAAATTGAATTTTGTCATAACCAAGTGGAAAAGTATGTTCATTAGTTTTGTGCGCGTGTTACGTAACATACAAAAGATTCTCCTTTTATGGATTCAAGTCATCAACCACTACAACTATTTTGGAAATCCCCAATCACGTCATAATTGCTTACCTGTGGAACAGGCCTGGCTGCATGTACTTTCCGTGACGAAATTATTCCTGTTTCCTAGGCAACCGGAGAACATGAATTGATCACATGTACGAGTCTGCGCATTGAATCTGAAACGTTTAGTATCAGTCTGACATTTTGCTGGATTCCAAATTCTTGAACAAACCGTGTTTGATATAGGATCTAGAGAAAGAGATTTAATACCGTCAGAGCTCGTAATAATGTCGCGAACTAAACTAACTTTATTTATACTGGATAGCTCTACCAGTTCTAAATTGTCCTCCCTAGAAATCCAGTAAGGATCATCTCTTATTGATCCAGTGTTACTACAGGAGGAAACCTAAACTAAACTAACTTTATTTATACAGGATACCCCCCCCTCTAGTGACGACAATCTTGAGATCACCACGCGTGTAATTCTCGAGATTTTGCCACGCGTGTAATCCCCACGAACGAACACACTAAGATATATTTTTGTGACAAAACTTACCACACTGTTTCTCGCATTCAGCTTGCGTATAAGTGGAACCCCGAGCTTGACAGCTGTTCAATACTTCAGTGAGATATTTGCTACAGCTCTCGCTTCTCTCCTCTGACTTCCCAGTCTTGATCTCTTGTCTCAACTCGTGTAAACACGGTCCAGTCTCCAGAGGAAGCTCGCATGTGTGTTCTAAGTTAAAGAAAAACAACGTGTCATAAACACAAGGTGTAGGTACTGTATACCCCAGGCCCTTACGTAAACATTGAGTATGAACAATCAGCATGCGTGGACTACACGCGTGTTGCACGCGCGTAAGAATATGCTCACCGCTTGCAAAAAGGTCTGGAACTAGCTAGTTGCATGGCTACCAACAAAAGACTGTTAACTTCCACTTACCAATTTGACAATATTCACCAGAGTAACCCGAGGAACATTCACATTTTCCTTCTTTACAAAGTCCACCATTGATACAATCTGGTTTACACGCCGCTGTTCAAGAGAAAAATTAAAGTTATTGTTTTGAAGATCAAAGATCTGTTTGCTGCGATTCTACACAAATAAAACTATTAAAACAAACAACACACGTAAAAATCTCGAAACTTGTCAACAATATGTGTTCGCAACAGGATTGTAGCAAGCTTGTCAACAAGTTGTAACAATGTTGTTATTTCATCAAGTTGCTACAAGCTTGTCACTCACACCTTGTTGAAATGAGGACGATAATAACTTGTAACAAGTCTGTTGTGCTCAAGAACCTTGTAGTAAGTTGTCAACAAGCCGTTGGCAACTTGTCACCAAGCTGGGAACAAGCAGTGCGAACACATCCTGTTGACAAGTTGTTGGAACAGCATTGCTACAAGTCTGCTCACAGGTTTGTTACAACCTATGCGTTTTTACGTGTGTAGCATTCGTCCACACGGGTCAGCCAGCTCTGTGTACATCAGGCCAATGAATCAAGTACTTACATATTTCGCATCTGAGCCCAGAATACGCCGGCAAGCATGTACAGCGGTTAGGACCAATACAAATACCACCGTTAAGACATCTTGATGTGCATATTGCTGAAATAGAGAAAAATATGGTTAGCCTTGCTTCATCTTATCTGAGCTGAGAAAATAATTAAACCTACCATTTTCACAATACTGTCCCTGAAATCCTTGTGGACAGCGGCATTCGTTTGAAGTTGGATTCACACATTCTCCGCCGTTCTTACAGGGGACTGGGCACAAGGCTAGAAAGAAACGTGACGTGATTTAATACCATTTCTCACCAAAAAAATATACTGAATAGCACTGAGTTGTTATCCCCTAGAGGTCCAGTAAGGATCACATTTCTAATGTAGTGTTCACAGAAAGATGCGCTGTTTGCTAGAATCGAACTAGAGGAGAACTCATCGCATGTGACAGAGGCGACATCTTAATCACGCAAGTGCGTAGTTTAGGAGTAAACCTCAATCACAGAGATGTACACTGACCACTGTAGCATCAACCAATGGCGCAGCTAGCCATGGCAACTAGTCATGATATGCTATTAAACGTACATCTAAATAAGGTTTTTAATACATTTCCAAAGGTGTCATCAAAAACTTGCATAGCATGACCTGTTGCTATGGCTAGCTTCACCACTGCCGTTAACACAACACAACACAACACAACACAACACAACACAACACAACACAACAAGAGTACCTTTCTCACAGCTAACTCCTTCAAATGAGCTTGGACACTGACATCTTCCTTCAATACATTCACCTCCATTTTGACACGACGGAAGACACGTTCCTAGAAAATGGGAAAATGTTTCTTCAGCACGACTACACGTCAAAGATTTTGACACGTTGATGCGATGAAAGGATTTTTACGTGTTTCACAAAACATAATTTGGTAAACTCACGTTTCCCATGATACAACACAAGTTTTTTCTCGGCAGGTTCAGTCTCGCTGTTCACGCCAGTTAGCCAGTCATAAAGTGGAAACTCGTAACTCTGCTGGTTGTCGTCTTTCACCGTTATCTTAAAATAAAATTATTCACATTTTAAATGCAAAACAAAATGTGAATGTGTGAAAAGGAATATTTTAAGTAGACCTAATAGATCTTTATATTCCATAAATGAACTGGCTGGCAACCGACTTAAACGCGCGTCTATAAATGTCATTAAAAATCCATTTTTTCAACCTTGTTCAAATACCACGAGGGAGATTTTCCTGAGCCATCATGTTTTATTTTCACTTTCAGAATTTTCCCAATATCCAACGCAGGAACACGAAATTTATCGATTCTAAATAACATTGTTAAAATCAATCAATAAATAATCAATCAATCAATCAATAATCAAGAAGCAATAAATCAATAATCAATCAATAATCAAGAAGCAATAAATCAATAATCAATCAATAATCAAGAAGCAATAAATCAATAATCAATCAATAATCAATAAGAAACCAATAAATCGATAAACAATCAATAATTAGTAAATCCACGATCAATCAATTGTCAGTTTATCGATAATAATCAATAATCAATCAAGGTCAATTATTCAATCAACTAATGTCTAATGATTATTCAATCAACAGTCAATCAGTAATCATTCAATGAGATAATTATTTAAATAAATCAAATCGATAGATCAAGGTAGTACACTTACTGTCCTGGTTGGAATTCCTTGGTCCCAGCATGATTCAGAGGTAGTTCTTCAGTAGTACCTTGATTCCCAATCAGTTGAACAAACACGTTAGCGCTAGTACCAGCGTCAGGCTGGATACCAGTGTGAGTCATCACCGTGTAGAAATGACCTGGAAACGAAGAACATAGAGTTTATATCTCCTGACGAAGAGTTTTTATCAGGTAATTGAGAGCAGCATAAAAGTATGTTTTCGTACTTACTAGGTTTACTAATCGTAACTTCCATAACTCGGTCAGGGTCATCACCAAGGATAACGTTTGTAAAAACCTGATTATTCAACACCAGAGGCTCCCCCGTGCTGTTGTCAATTGCTTCAAACTTGTAATGTTTAGTTTCATGACCAATCAACTTGATTTTTCTTATTTCTCCCTTGGTTAGTAAATGCGCTGGCTCCTTGGCTTCGCTCTCTATCAGTTCAACGTCTTTGCCAGCATTGTTATGAAGTCGTAGCGTGGCATAGTAGAGTGTTGGCAAGCCACCTGAAAGAAGAGATATTAATTTGATCAAACGACAACAGGAGTTGAAAGAGAGATTTTACATGAATGAAAGTGTTCTCTGCTTGATCAAACGAGACCAAATATTGTACGAGAGTTGACAGGCGCGAGGTGATATATCAAAGTACTAGAGACTAGTCTCCAATCCCTCACCTTTACGTTGACAGGATTTCGTCTCGTCCTCCCATTTCATTCCAATTCCACAGGAAACCCTCTTGGCTGAGCCTGCAGTACAATTTATGTAACCAAACTCATTTGTAGAGTCTGGGAACAAGCCATTTGGTGACATACATTTCACTAAACAACAAAATATCAAAATTAATGGATGAACTTTATTGGACCTCAAGCGAGAACAGCTTAGAACTGTTCAGTATAAATAAAGTTATTATAAAAATAGATTTAAAGCCTAGTTCTGTCCTAACATACCTGATGATGTCACTGTTGCTACGGTCATATGAGTACTGGAATCACTAGGGCTGACAGCAAACGGCTCCTCTGACGTATTAATCAACAGTGAGTCACCTGACAACTCATCCTGAGCTCGAAATGTAACTGGAACATTCGCTGACGTTCCCTTGGCAACAAAGGATAGCTCCAGAGACATGTGTGGCTTGATTGAATACCCTTGATCCTTTGCGCCCCCTTTACTTGGATTGATTCGTACATTCGTACCAGCTTTATTGTCGAACCTCACTTTGATGTAACGGTTAGAAAACGCTGGAGCCGCTGAAACGAAGATTATAAATGTGGTTGGACCTTCACAGCATTGAGAAGTAGTGTCAATGAAAAAATCAACTTCGTTTCAACGCGAATTTTTCTTTTGTCTTTATCCAATTATTTCCAGATGGTTCCAGTTGAAAGACCAAAGACAAATGAAAAATTCAAGTGGAAAACCGGCATTACAGGAGCAAGAAAATTAAACTACAACTCTCAATTCTATTTCCATAAAATGAAAATAATGTTTGAGAGTCTCCGCACCATGAAATACGACTTTTTAGCGTTGTAGTTGTTTGTATAATGGTTCATTACAGTTCCAACTTTTAAAAGTCGCTTTTCACGTTGTTTGAATTGCCTAGAATATTTCACGAGGGTAGACAGTACCCCCAAAATGGCGGATTCTATTTGCATAAAATGAAAAGAATGAAGATTATTTTCTCACTCTGATAACTGAAGGTTGACCACCATCTGCTGTGCGATAGTGCTTGGTGATAATGGTCGCAACTTACCATTCCCCCAGTAGTAAATATACTCTCTGAGCGCATCAGCTTTGGACAGGTGCTCGTCAAAGAACGCGAGTGAGTTGATGGTGAATTGCGCATGCCCGTACGGTGGACCAGCAATATTTCGCGCGATTTCAAAACGGCTGAACTTGTCAGTATGATGTAGACCAGGCTTGTTCACCAAGTGCTTCATGTGGTCCTTCAGATGACCGTTCACGTACAGTGAAAGTCCTTCATTCTTTTTCCACGTGAACATCACATATTTCCATTCATGAAAAGTGATCGGTGCGGACACCTGGTCAAATAAAGAATGAATGAAATCAAGACAATCTATACATTTTTGATAAAAACAGATTTTTGTAGCATATCGAACTTCCTTAGGCTATTAGGATCAAGATCAGCATTTCTATAGAGCAAGTATTTCGCTTACCTAATTACATACTTAGCCTAGACTATTTTATGTTTACAACAATTGTGATATTACTTTCTTAACTTTGTTTATCCTAACCCACTCTGTCAACTTTCCCTGTGAGAGGAAACCAGAGCACCCCGAGAAAATCCACGACTTGACTGACTCTTTTCACATGAGTTCATAGCGAGAATCAAACCCACGAAACACGCTTACTCTGATGGCTGCGCCATCGAAGCCCAATAGCGAAGCCCAGATACACTAACCTTCCATTCAGCATTCGAGATCGCCACGACGCAATACACTCTACCATCCTGATAATGTAAACTGAAACCACGTGACTGAGAATCATGAGCACCACTGTCCAAAATAAACCGCGGCTCGTCAGTGTAATTCTTAGCTTCGTCATTAAACTTGAGTTTCACAGCCATCGCCATTCCTTCATCACACATCTGAGGGTCACTGATGCACGAGCCTGCAAGATATACAACATATTCTTTCCTGCTTTGTCCATAATGGCTAGGAAACAATGTTTCCTGGTTTGTCCACCTTCAGGAAACATGGCTAGGAAACAATGTTTCCTGGTTTGTCCACCTTTGGGAAACATGGCTAGGAAACAATGTTTCCTGGTTTGTCCATCTTCAGGAAACATGGCTAGGAAACAATGTTTCCTGGTTTGTCCACCTTTGCGCAAGGTTTTATATCTCTACGTTCGCCATACCTTTATAATCCCCGACATCAATCCAAGTGTCGCCAGGCAACAGACGTAAACTGTCCTCTTCAGGTTTATAAAAGCCATGCACCATCAACTTGGGTTCACTGTCGCGAACCACACCCATGTCGACGTGTTTAAAGTTCCAAATGTATTTGGGAAGAATCGAAGGCGCTACATGAAACAGAAAATGTTAGAGCTACAGGACAGCAGTTGGTCGTCAGAAATGTGAAACATATTTGAAATAGCAAAACATATCTGATATTATACCTGGCTGCCGTAAACACAGAAATTACACAATTAAAAATCTCGCAACTTGTCAACAACATGTGTTCGCAACAGACTTGTAGCAAGCTTGTCAACAAGTTGCACGTACAAGGTTGTCACTCACAACTTGTTGACAAATTGTTGAATTGCAGGACGATAGCAAGTTGTTGGAACAACTTGCAACAAGTCTGTTCAGCTCAACAACCTTGTAGCAAGTTGTCAACAAGCTGGGAACAAGCAGTGCGAACACATCCTGTTGACAAGTTGTTGGAACAGCATTGCTACAAGTCTACTGCAGGTTTGTTACAACTTGTGCGTTTTTACGTGGGTAGGCAGGAGTGTGCAACGTTGGATGATAAATGTAATTTGTTCGGGGATTATATACATTAACGAAATATGTTTTGAAAAAGACTTGCATACCTGGTGATGTTACCAATATAGTTGTTAATTCTTTCTTCGATTCTTTAGGGACGACGACAAAAGGACGAATAAAATGATTGATCATAAGTTTGGTGGATGTTTCTGCATCAATAGCATGAAATGCAACAGGTTCTATAGGATTATTATCCGTGCTCATCGACATCAACACGATCTGTTGTGTACTGTTGGGTTTGATCGGGAAGCCATCGTCATTCCCTCGGTTTGGTTTCAATACAGCTGGTCGTCCTGCACCGTTAATGATGCGAAGTGTAGCGTAGTAGATCTTGGCTGATTCTGAAAAGTGCGGATTGTTTGTTTTAGAAGATAAATTGGGAGTATTGATGGCACAGTACATATCAGCATATGTCTTTTGCAACATCGAGTCTTGCAATCAACCTCCCCTTGGGAAAGGTTAAATGATAGATCGAAGTGAAATTTTTATTCGTTGCTTAGGGTCTACACCAGAAATTGCGGAAAAACTAGTAACTATTCATCATCTCTGTATCAAGTGCCCTTTTAATGGAATATTTTGAAATTAACTTGGTAGTAATGTAATGAAGAGCAATATTAGATGAGTCGTATAGTCATAATTCATAAATACACTGATACATATGTACAGTGCATGCATATGTCATGTAGTTGACTTTAATAGGGGGCTGCATTCTAAGTCCTAACATTCCATGGGGGCTGTGGGCTAGACACTGCACCTCCCTGAAATATATTTCCACCCCCCAGCATTTCCACCAAAATCCGGTCTTGTTCTTCTCACAAGCGACTTGGAGAAAACTATGGTGAGACAAGTACATATTGCAGGAATTGAACCCTGGGCACAGAACATACATACACTAAACACTATGTCACCAAATAATATTTTCGCAAAATGATTGCACTTACTTCCGCTCCAGAAAAACAAGAACACGCGGTTGACATCATCTTCGTGTAAATATTCTTGAAAGACTGTTAATGACGCCATATCGAAGGCTGCGTACTGATAGGGTGGACCTTCAATATTTCGACCAATCAGAAAATTCTTATCCGTGTCCACTGGATGTGTGTCAGGCACAGGTGACCCAGTGTTATCCATGCTTCGTAACTGAGCGTCATAGTAGAGTGAGAGGCCAAGACCTTTCTTGAAGCTCATTATCACATAGATCCATTGGTCTAACACCAGTGGAGTTGCTGCCTGTGGAAAAAAAAAACTTCCTTAAAACACAGTACACAGCATTTGAGTAAGGAATTTTAGGTTTTATTTTCGAGTATTCTGTTCCATTCTATTGCTTTCTATCGTTTTCTGTTGTTTTCTATTGTTTTCTATTGTATTCCATTGTATTCTATTGAATTCTATTCTATTCATTTGTATTCCATTATAGTCCATTGTTTTCTATTGTAGTCTATCGTTTTCCATTGTTTCGTATATTATTTCTATTATGGAAATTGCATTCCATTTCGTTCATTCTATTCCATTAAGTCGTGGCTGTTGGGATCAAGTCACAGTTTCCGATATAAAATACAGGTAGCCTGCGCTGTACATAAATCAATCTCTACTGATCGATAGCAGAGATATTATGACACTGTAATTGCATCGGCTTATCTTGTCATGGTCGCAACAGCCACGAGCAAATTGAAAGCAAAGCTCAACCTACCCTATATCTCATGTTCTTAGTGGTGACCTCAGCAACAAGTTTCTTATTTTCAACAAACAGTGAAATACCGCGAGTCTTCTCCCCATGACCTCCTGTGTCTAGAATAAACTTCGGCTCAGTATATCCATTCGCTATCTTATCTATCTTTAACTTCGTGCCAAAGCTAAACCCTTTCGAGCAAACCTCTGTGTCGTGCAGACAATGTGAGCCTTCTACATAAGTGTCCATAGATGACGTCGAGCCATCAAAATGTAGACCATCTCCGGCCGCGCTGACCTCACCATGTACTGAGAGACTGGGACTACCTGGGACTGATGAGCCATCAAAAGATGAGAAAGACCAAGACTGTAGAGGCTTCGCATGGGGAGCTAAATCAATCAAAGAAAAATTTGAGATTTTGAAAGATAAATTAAAATGTTATCTTTGCGCGATTAATATCTCACACGTAAAAATCTCACAACTTGTCAACAAGATGTGTTCGCAACAGGTTTGTAGTTAGCTTGTCAACAAGTTGTAACGATGCTGTTATTTTATCAAGTTGCTACAAGGTTGTCACTCACAACTTGTTGACAAATTGTTGAATTGCAGGACGATAACAAGTTGTTGGAACAACTTGTAACAAGTCTGTTGTAAACAACCTTTTACATAATGTCAACAAGCCGTTGGACAACTTGTCAACAAGCTGGGAACAAGCAATATTTAGTGAAACTCATGAAACTCACAAGCGAAACTTAGATATTAGCTAAATGCAATGCTCTGATACAGTACCTTCAGCAGTGACTGAAATATTCGTGACGGCGTCTGGTGTATTGGAAGGAGTGAGTGAGATTGGGAAGAGCGCTTTATTGAGCAGAAACTTGGACTGAGTCTCCAGATCCTCTCCTCGAAACGTGATTGGTTCCACGTATTTTTCCCCTTTGATAATGATGCTCACTTTAACAAAACTGTGTGACCCTACCACGTAGCCTCGATTCTTATGTCTGCCTTTACTGGGTACCACTCTCGCCGCTCGCCCCAGTTTGTTGTGCAGAATAAGCGTGATGAAACGGTCAGGGACTTTCGGAGGTTTGGAAACTAAACATAAGAAAACGTACATTTAGGACTGGCAAATTCTTCAGTGTAGGTTGTACTCAACTACCAGAAAAGAGAAGACCTTCGTAGCAATCATTAACATCTTCCTGATAAAGGAGAGTTTTTAATCTTTTCCATAAAGTTAACACCTTTTCCAGAAAGTTAACACCTTTCCAGAAAGTTGACGTTTTCCAGACAGAAAGCACGGCTGACACTTACCAGCACAAGTGACGACATGACAATCTTTTTGAAGAGAAGTTGCATCTCCTGGAGAGCAATAAAATAAGTCAATAGTTCATAATGAATTCAAACTCATAGAGCTGAACTAATAGAGCTGAACTAATAGAGCTGAACTAATAGAGCTGAACTAATAGAGCTGAACTTCACTTAGTTTACGTTTCCTCCTGTAGTAACACTGTATCAATAGGGGCGAGCCTTACTGGACCTCTAGGAAGAACAGTTTAGAACTGATAAAGCTGAAACATCCAGTACAAATAAAGTTAGTTTGGTTCAGGTTTCCTCCTGTAGTAACACTGGATCAATAAGAGATGATCCTTACTGGACCTCTAGGAAGAACAGTTTAGAACTGATAGAACTATCCAGTATAAATAAAGTTAGTTTGGTTCAGGTTTCCTCCTGTAGTAACACTGGATCAGTAAGGGACGAGCCTTGGAGCTCTAGGGGGAACAGTTTTAGAAGTGACTTTATTCAGTATAAGTAAAGTTAGTTTAGTTTAGCCATGTGAGCGCAGCTCGGCTTGAGAATATTCTGAACTCTACACTGTTAGCATCGTCTTTCATACCTTGAGGTGTGGTGATATTGACTTGAGTGTTCAATGTTTTAGTCTTGTCAGGTGTGACAGTCAGTTTATCTTGATTGTTCAATAACAGAGCCTTATGAGTTTCGCCACTTAATGCCATATACGTCAGTGGACTTCCGCTATCCACAGTCTCCTTGATGTTCATGGCCGTGCCAGGATTTAAATGAAATCCACTATCTGGAGAATCCTTGACCGGGAAGAATACTGTCTCTTCTGGGGACTGGTTACTAACATGTAAGTTGACGTAGAATGGGGATTCTGAATAAAATACAAACTCGATCAATGATCCACTATCTAACAAATTTATTTTCTAACTAACTAACTAACTGGCTAACTAACCAACTATAACCAACTAACCAAATAACCAAATAACCAAATAACCAAATAACCAACTAACCAACTAACTAACTAACTAACTAACTAACTAACTAACTAACTAACTAATCAACATAACTTACTCGTTTCTGGTTTCAACTTTT